AGAAGAAGAAAAAACAATTCGCAAACCAAACAAAAAATAAAATAATTACTTTTCTTAAAGTAAAATGAAATAAAAAGAAAAGAAAACAACGCAACTTCCCATATCATAAATAATTCTTGAAAATGGCAACATTCCCATATTAGTTAACTGTTTGTTGTTGTTGTTGCTGCTGGTTTTGGCAAAGAAGAAAACAAACAATCAAAAAAGCTCACCACACACAACTTGGCCGTCATGGTAGAAAATTTCACTTTCATTTTGGCGCACTGGCAACGAACTAAGCGGCACATAGCTACCAAGCAACCTATCTACTAAGCGCGCACACACACACCAGCATTTTACAACATGGACTGTGGAGTGGCTGGACTGTCAATTGTCTGAGTTGCCTGTCTGTCTTTCACAGACACGATTTCAATGCAGCAAAACAAACATTGTACGGTTTTGTGGCCAAAAATAATATGAAATTAAGATCGTTTTTTATTTGTTATTACTACTGCAAGTGTAATTATTTTATTTTTCTTTTTTTTTGCAGCAGCAAATGATCGTATATTTTATTTTTACGACTTTTTTTCATTTTAGTCTCAACTTGACACTTTAAATTAAAAGAGTAACAGCTATCGAAATGTGCAGCTAGTTATGGCCGATTTTTATGGAACACACGCGACGACATAATACCAATTCATGGTTAGGAGGCTTAATATTTTCCGTGCTACGGTTGCACCGGTTGCAATTTGAAAACTGCCAGCAAACAATCTCAGGATTACGCAATTTCAGGCAGTGATCAAAATTCTTAGAATATACCAACAGTTAATGCCAGAAGAGAGAATGGTAGCAAGTTTTTCGGTGTATTTTTTGTGGTAACCGCACCGCAAGTGATTAACGTTTTACATTTTCCAAACAACTTCCACTTCATGATTTTGAAAATTAATTGCAATTGTGTGCGATTAAGAGCAAATCGAGTTGAAGTGTTGGCGTTTGATTTTTATTTATTAGGAAATAAATTTATAAAAATAAAGTATAGAAATATATTTAAATGCCATTACATACTAAAAGTTGTGGATAATGGTTAAGTTTGGAAATTAAAAATAATTTGTGATTGAAATTAAAATGAATATTTCAAAAAGAAAATGTGGAGTCATAAAATCAAATTGACACAGCGATAAAATTTCGCCTACCACAGACGAAACAGTGATAGTTTCGAATCATACAGATTTTCATTGAGGCAAATGGATATGAAATAAAACAAGTTGAAAAGTATCAGTCGACATTTTCCGACCCCAATGTTCGATTATTTAAATATATTTTGACTTGTGTTATGATTGTTCAAATTGTGACCCTCTATGGAGTAGGTTCCAAAAGAATGGACCAATATTATCCATTTCGTATCGGTCCTAAATAAATATGATATGATGATGATGCTGTGACGTGCCAGGTTTGGACTATATCGACAATTTCTTCAACTTTATATCGGATATGTAATAATTTTATAAAATGTTGAAATATAAGTGATTTTTACACTTCATCTCCTACAGATAAATATATTGGCATGGGAAAAATTAAAAGAACATCGAACATTTATATCCAATTTTATGCAAAATCATAAATTCCATATTCTTTTCAGATTTCTGGTTGAGAGAAATATTTATATATAGCAAGATATAAGGAATTTCTGACTTTTTTCGCAAGTCATGACAGATATAAGTCATGAATATTGTGACCCTATGTGGGTGAGATACCAGAAGGTGTTGGCAGTTACCTATCAACTTCGCAACAGACCAGAAAAAATGTTTGTATTTGTGAAATTTGAAGAGATTTGGATGTGTATTTTTTGAACCCTTCGTGGTGGAGGTACCAGAAGGAGTGGACCGATATATCCCTTCTTCGCTGCATATCTTGTGTTATTAAAAATAATGGGATGTGAAACATTTGAAGAGACCCGAATGCTTATTTCGAATTTTATGATCGTTTTGGTTATTCAAAATTTTCACCCTTTGTGGGGGAGGTACCAGAAGGAATGGTCCGATCTCAACCATCTTCATAACAGATCTTGTCTTATCAAAAATGTTGAGATGTGTAAAATATGAAGAGAACGGAATGCTTATTTCGGATTTCATGATGGCTTTGGTTATTCAAAACTTTAACCCTTTGTGTGGGAGGTACCAGAAGGAATGGTCCGAACTCTGCCATCTTTTTAACAGATCTTGTGTTAATGGAAATATTGAGATGTGCCAAGTCTAAGTGGAATCCGACGTTAATTTCGTGTTTTATGAGCTTCATGAATTGTGTGGGAGGTAACAGAAGGAGTGCACCGATATATACCATCTTCACACCAGACTTTGGGTTAATAAAAATATTGTGATGTATGTAATCTGAAGACAATCGGACACTTACATTACATTTTTTAAGAGTTATAATTATTCAAAATTTTGACTCTTTGTTGGTGAGGTACTTGATGGAATGTACCCATATTGTTCATTTTCGCACCTGACAGTACTAATTCATATATTAAAATTTGGAGCAAAATCGGATTATCCTTTCGCTCTCTGTGCAGTAAAATATATTTTCTTTGAAATTGTAGACATTTTGTGGGGGAGGTACCAGTAGGAGTGAATCGACATTGTCCATCTCCGAACTCGATCTAAGTTTGATAATAAAATTACCATGTACCAAGTTTGGATCAAATCGGATAGTCCCTTCGAAAGTTATTGTGCGCACCAGCCTGCCAGACAGAGGGACGGACATCGCTAGATCGACTCTTAATGTCCTGAAACGTACTTGGTCTAATGAGACCTAGGATCTAAAATCGTTATTTCGATGAGGCACGTTTTGGGCCGTATAAAATGATATATACCCCCTCTTGCCATATGGCTGATTGTATAAATATATATCGTAGCGAAAATACATAAATGATAATAAGAAAACCGATCTTAGTTTGGAAAACTTCTTTAAATTCTTATATGACCCATATTAACAACTATACCTTCAAGATAAAGGAGTTAAGAAGCTTCTGAGAAATTGGAGAAGGAAATTCAGTGTTACGATGGTAGAAGTGGTCTACAGTTACACGACGTCATTCAATTAAAGATTTTATGCATTTTTCTGAATTTTATGTTTTTTTAAACGCTTTATAAACAGCAACATAAGTTTATAATTAAATATAAAGTTATGCGTTTCACTATTAAATTTAGATTAAAATTTGCAGAACAATCTAAGTGCCTCGAAGGCGATTGAGGAAAAAGTTTGGTTCTTGATCTTGAAAGGTGATGGTCTGTAAGTCCCCAAAAATGCAACCGTCTGAACCGATCTCGATAAAATTTGGCAAAGATTTTTCTCAGCTGTTTTTTTAAATATTTCCTTGAATATCGTTTTTACGGATTGCATATTACGGCTGTTGGTAATAAATATAACAAATCGGATGAACAATATATATGGAAGCTATAGCGATATATGAACCGATCTTCACCAAATTTGGCATACTAACTTCTATACTCAATTCGGTCGTATGAGCCAAATTCCATCCCATTTGGGCAAATATTAGACGTTTGGTGCACAATAAAAGGTAAATCGGACGAAGTTATATATGGGAGCTATATCCAAATCTGAACCGATCTCGATAAAATTTTAAGGTATTTCTGAGCTGCATTTGATACATTTCTCAAAATATTGTTGTTACAGATTGCATATTACGGCTGCGGAGGACAAAAATAACAAATCGGATGAACAATATATATGGGATCTATAGCTAGATACATATTGGCATACATATTTTCAGGCCTAATTTGGATGTATGTGCAAAATTCCCTACTATTCGGGCTGATATTACACGTTTGGTGCACAATAAAAGGCGAAGATATATATGGGAGCTATATCTAAATTTTTTTCCGATTATCTCCAATTTCAATAGTGTTCGTCCTTGGGCCAAACAAACGATTTTTGCAAAATTCCATCTCAATAGGATAATAAATGCGACCTGCATTTTGTTCACAATAATACATGGACAGACGGACTGACATGCATAAATCAACTCAGAAAGTGATTTATTCTCAACAGTAAATATGGGTCTATCTCGCTTCCTTCTCCATGTTACAAACAAATGCACAAAGACATAATACCCATACCACTATGTCGTGTAGAGTATAAAAACTTAATTGATTACAGTTCAGTCCAGCAGACACAATCCTCAATTATAATTCCCATTTTTCGTTGTTGCAAAATGGTCAGGTTTAATCGCATTTTTGTTGTTTGTATAAACATAAAGTTTGTTTATTAGTGGAGAACGATGCTAATATTTGCCAGGAAGTAAGGCAGAGAATATCTAGAGTTCGGAAAGAGCGACAAAGGGGTTTTGTTGTAACAGACAAAACCAATTTACATGGTTATGCTATTTCGCCCATGTAAAACAAAAGCATAAGAAGTGGAGACAGGTGAAAAAGTTTATAAGTGCGGTTGTAAGATTTAGAAGATTTTCCAAAAGAATTTTAGTGTTATGTAATTCTTTGGTTCCTCTTCTATTGAGCTTACGAATATTGAATCCATCTGTTTGTAAAATTTCGAAATATTTGTCAAAGTACCCATGTAAACATGTTATCGGTCAGCGTGTCTTTTCCATTTTGTGTTGAAATCACGATATGTCAATTATATTTGTTAAAGTTTGCTACACTATAGACATTTTCCCTACAAATTTCTATTTGCCTAGCCAAAAGATCTGCGTCTGCAATCTCTCTGCAACTTGCTTTTAGAGCTGTGCAGAATTATTCAGTTCAGATCGTTATTTGACTATTCAAATTTAATGGTATCTGCTATAATGATATAACTCAAGCCAGATCAATTGATCGAAATAAATTGAAATTAATTTTCTTTTGTAAATTCAGGCAGGCGAAATTGTAGAATGAAATCCTTTTCTAAATATTCCCATAAGTCCTAAAGTCCTCACAGCTTTCTAAAAAGTAAAGAACTCCAAGACCATAAATATTCTATTTAAAAAATAATAATTACAAACTTACCGTAACATTGAAGACAGCATTACTATTTTGGCTAACATTATTTAATCCATGATAGTAACGTTTAAAGTTATGCTGCAATGACGACGACGACGATGATGATGATGTTGTTGGTGCGTTGGACAAGGAAGCGGAAGTTTTTATTGCATTACAGCTCAACAACCTTGAAGTTGTGGCAACAATACCAGTTTTATTCGCAATGTTGTTGGTGGTGGTTATGGTGGTGGCACTACTCAACGATCTTCGAGTTGTGGAGTTGTGGGCGTTATTGGCTGGATGGTATTGTGGCTGCAATTGCGGTTGCAGCATAAGTTGACATAGATATTTGTGATTGTGATAACGACGCGTACCGACTGCTACAAACAGTCCTTGGCGACCGGAAGTACTTAAACAGGCCATGGTATTTTTGTACGATTTGTTTGTTTCTCTTAAAACGATCCAAAAAAAATTGTAACGGTTATAATCCTTTAAGGCTTTTGTAAAGATTTTCGTAAGTAACGGAGTTGGTATTTTGTTTTAAGGTGGGAGGAAGGACACTCTTTTTTTCGTTAGGAAACACTTGTTTTTTATTTCTTAAAATCACGAAAGCGACTTCATTAGGTAGGCAAATTTTTTGTCTTGACTTTCTTTTACTTTACGCATTAAGTATTCCTTTTTATTTATTTATTTTCTTTTTAATTTTTGTTTAACACAAGAATTGTTTTCGTACGTTTGGTGGTTAGGTTACTCGTTTGGGACTTTTTACTTAAAGAAAAAAGTTTAGTGACCTCTTCTTCTGGCTCTAGGTGAATATTATTTTCTTTTTTTCAATATCTTTTCTTTTATTTTTTCAATTTTTTTACGGTTACACACAGCGACAACCCGGGGACGACGGTTAAAAGACAATTTTTGTTGCGTTTAGTTCCAACAGCTTCAACAAAGTGTTTTGTGTTTTAAGCTGCAAGTGCCTCTGAGCTTAGTTTAACTCGCTCGTACGCTGCTGGTGTCTGACGCTGGCAATGGCTAAAACGCTGAGCCTTAAGATGAAACTTGTTTAAAAGCAGAGGCGCCTGCGCCTTAGCCAAGAAAGCTTTAAGACAAATCAAAGCCGTGGTTTGCTTGTTTTGACTGAAACGTTTGCCAAAGAGAGTCACACACACAAAGAGAGAGAGAGAGAGGTTTTGAATGTTAACTCTTACCTCTCTCCCGCAAACGTGTACAATGGTGAATACTGTCTTCTTTCCCAATAGCCTGTTGATGTGAACTTGGTACTTGATTGGCCAGGTTGTTTCACCTTTAATAGCTGCATTAATCTTCAATGTAAAGCATTCTGTAAATGGTCAAAACTGCGTGTGACTGCATTTAATAGATGTGAAGAGTGCCAGGCCAAACAAATTTTCTTTTTCCTCGGTCACCTTGATCTCTACGCACAGCTGGTACAGGTTGTTATCCAATAGCTTAGTTACTCAGCGCCGCTGTCAATACATCAAATTTACACTGACTCCCCGCCTTTGCTGTAACGTGACACTGCCGCCTTATCTTCTTATCGTTATTACCGAATTTTTCCAATTGGATTTCTGTCCAAATATTTGATTTTTTATTTATTTATGTTTTATCGAGGAAAAGAAATAGGAACTTTCCATTATTATTTTGACGTAACCGAACAGATGATTTAGCGTGAACATGTGTTGCGAAATTCAATGTCAAAACAAAATCAAATGGTAAGTATGAGTTGCAACTGGGAGTTTTGCGTAAAGTGTTTGGCGATTGTCAAAGGGTATTTCTTATTGGGAAAAAAGGTGTTGCCACATGGGATACTGTGATTTCTCAAGGAATAATAATGCGTATTAAGGAGCCAGAAAACAAAATTCTGAATTTATTCAATGTAGAAAATCCGTTTTGCCATGAAGATAACATATTTTAACATTTTGGACTTGATTTTTGGAAGAAATTACAGATATTTCATATATTTAAGTTTTATTTATTTGTTTATTTATTTATTTATTGAATATTTTGTCATTAGTTTTGCAAAATTTATAGTAAATCAGATTTTTAATTTAGTGGCTTTTAAGAACTTTTTTTCTTCTTATTACACCGAGTTTTTGACAACTCAAAATGTATAAAGTTTCCTAATGATGGCTACGAAAATAAACAAGAATTCATGGTACAATGATATCAAGGTAGGGCAGAACTACCATATGATTTCAATTTTTTTATTTTCTTGGCCTAATACGTCATCATTTTTTGTTTATGTATGTGTTTTCTTTTCAATAACAAAAAAATTGTTCAGAAAACATTCAAATTCGGGTGTTTTCAAAATGTTCATTTCAACGCATGCATCCACAAAATCTAGAGATTTTGTAGCGAAATAATCCTTTAGAGACATATAGTACATGATTTTGAAAAGAAGTGTTGACCTTTCATTCAGTTATCGCGGTTTTCAATTATTTATTCAAAATAAATGCAACAAGTTGTTTGATTTTTTATTGTTTTGATACTAATTCTGACATTACAAGCCAAACAGGTAGACCTCTATACTTGGAATTTTTTCAAAGTTGACCTACCTTCTCTTCATTGTACCATGCAAGAATTGAGGCACAGGATCTCAATTCTCTGTTCTATGAATATGTGAAATAATGAAATATTATTTTTTTAAATCTTGAACCCTATGCGGGGGAGTTACCAGAAGGAATGGTCCGATCTCTACCATCTTTATAACAGATCTTGTGTTGATGGCAATATTTAGATGTACCAAGTTTGAATGGAATCGGATGTTAATTTGGCGTTTTATGAGCTTCATGGTTACACAAATTTTGACTCTTTGTGGGGGAGGTACCAGATGGAGTGGACCGATATATCCCATCTTCACACCATACCTTGGGTTAGTACAAATATTGTGATGTGTGTAATTTACAGAGAACCGGATGGTTATTTTGGATTTTATGATCAATTTGTTTATTCAAAAAGTTGACCCTTTGTGGCGGAGTTGCCAGAAGGAATAGTCCGATCTCTACCATCTTTATAACAGATCTTGTGTTGATGGCAATATTAAGAAGTACCAAGTCTGAATGGAATCGGATGTTAATTTGGCGTTTTATGAGCTTTAAGAATATTAAAAATTTTAACCGTTTGTGGGGGATACCACATCAGACCTTGAGTTATTACAAATATTGTGATGTGTGTAATTTGAAGACAATCGGACTCTTACATCACATGTTATAAGAGTTATAATTTTTCCATCTTCGAACTCGATATAAGTTTGATAATAATATTACGACGTACCAAGTTTGGATCAAATTAGATACTCGCTTCGAGAGTTAACGTGCGCACATGCCATTCAGACAGACGGACGGACTAGATCGATTCCAAATGTCAATTCTTTGCAAAGAAATGCAACTCCCGCCCATGGTAAAGTCATTTGAACAACATCTCATTGTCAAAATGTTTATTTATAAATTCATTGTACATACGCAAATCTGAGATGGGAACCTGCTTTCTATGCAGTAAAATTTGACAAGGTAAATTACAGAAAATGCAAAGATGGGAATGCTTATTTAAAATGACTTTACCTTCTTAATTTTACCATGCTCGCGCCCAATTCAAGTGCATTTCACAGTTTTGTTCAATGGTATGTAAAGCACCATACATTATTTTCATATTTCCCCTTTTTTGGACAATCTGGCAATATGTTATTATCATTGGTTCATTTTTATTTGTAGCTAGTTCCAGGCTCTTTTAGTGAATGTGTTCAGTTTTCCTCATGTCTCATTCGTAAACAACAGAGTACTCGTCGTTATGCATTACACTCATTCGTAAATGTTAATTTTTTTTATCAAGTATTCCTTTTTGACCTTCGCATTCGTTTCGTTGGGGACGTCTTTCATTTTTGTTTCCCAGGCATGCGTGTCGTAATAGCCGTGGAGCACATTAAAGTTGGGAAGTTTTAAATTAAAAATGTCGCGTAATCTTGTATTATATTTCTCAAATTTCTTGCAAAGATTGGAGTCTTTGCTTCCAGCCATATTTCCCCAAGGCTCCTTGCCACCAGGTAGGAATAAAAACGTAAAAATTTCTCTCATGAATGATTTCCCACCAACTGTCTGTCTTTTGCACCATTCGTCCCCTAGCATTTGCTGTAGCCGGCCTACCCTCAACATATGATAAAATCACCAGGAATCAAACTCCCTCCCGATCTCTGAAAGATATCATTGGTGATGGTATCTTATGGGCTGTACCCAAGCATCGGCGTACGGTGGAGAAACGTTTAAATCGCAAATTTGGCTATCCCGAATACAATTGGAAATTGTTGCGCGTCAAGACTCATTTGCGATCGTGCAATCAATGTGGTCATGATTACGAAGCTGGACATTTGTGTCCCCACTGCTATAACAAGGTACGCGATGAAACCCAACAAATGCAAGAAAAAATACAAGAACAATTGGGCTTGAACCCCATTGAACAAGATGTTGTAGTTTTGTATGAGGGTGAACGCGGAGAACAACCCTCGGAAATGTTGAATGGCAAACGTATTGTGGAGATGCCAAAGCCCCGTCCCATATGGTTTACCAAAAATCTTTTGCAAAAGACCACACAACAACCATCGAATTCCAAAGAAGTTAAACCCAATGATTTGGCCTAAGGTCGCTGAAATATGTTTAAATAAAATTTTGTTAAAAAGTATTGAAAATATTATATTTTTACTTGAATGAAGTATATAAAGAAAACGCAGTCTGAAAAAAAGAAAATAAAATATTGTTGTGCAAAGTGAGGGTCCCGACGAGTTCAAATATGGCCTTGCGTGATAGTTTTCGTGACTTTCTGAAACTCAAAAAAAAAAAAAACAAAAACAAACCTTTTAGTATAATGTAAAGTAGGGGAAACGACAAATAGAATTAGAATTTCTAAAAGATACCCAACATTTAGAGGCAAACATGAAATTGCATCAAATTCGGACAACATTTCTAACCACTCCTCATGCCTAAACATTTAATATAAAAGAATTAATTTAACATTAAAACAAAATGTTAACAAAACACAATGTTTTCCATTTTTCTAGCAACAAACAACTTTATTATAATGAAATTCCATTTTACTTGTTTGCAATTTCTTGAGGAAGCCATTATTAAAATCCATGGCACTCATGGCTTTCTTACCCTCAACACGCAATCGGTGGACTTCTATGAATGTATAATTGGCACATTGTACCCTTAGACATTTTCGCTTATAATGATAGACTAATGAACCCGGTGAAGAGTCAGATTTGAAATTATCTCCAGAAGATATTTCTTGAGGTAAACTGATATCTAATAACTCAATCGACTTCTGTTGAAACTTCGATGTCAATGCCTTGAATCCGTACAAAGCACGATAACGATTATAGACTTCCAGGGATGTTAGATTGTTCCAATTGATTTCATAGATATCGGGTGTTATTTTGGGAGCTATAATGAAATACCATTTTTAATTATGAATTATTTTTTAAAACTTATTTAAACCTCCTACCATACGTGGCATCTTTATCATTTTGTCTCATGGGATTTTCAAATGTTTTTGGGTAACCTGACACCACTTGCCACAGCAGATCTGCACCTTTTTCCGACAACTCCTTATGCAAATCGGGCATGAAAATGCCGGGCTCTATTTTAACCTTTTTTTGGGCAAATATCTGGAAACACAAAAGTTGTCAATATAACTCATTTATTGATTGTTAACTTGCCTACCTACATCACCAACATCGAAACGTTTGGGTTCAATACGCATTATACTAACTCCCGTCTCCTGGTCGCCATTCATAATGGAATAAATTATGGGAGCAGCACCACGCCAACGCGGCAATAAGCTGGCATGCACATTAATCATACCTCTGTAAATATTATTAGACATTTTAAATATTATGGACTCCAATTGCCAATTACTTACAAAGGAAATGCGTTAATAATGTGTGTTGGTATCAAATGACCAAATGACACCACAACACCCAAGTCAAATGGCCTACAATGTTCCGTTGTTATGGGCCATTTGTGTAGCGCTAGTTTTTGTTGCTCCGCATAGACTCGGACACAGTTTGCCGGGCTTTTGAAAGATGTAACCACCCCCAAACTTTCATTGCTTTGGATGTGGAAGAAATAATTTAATATATAGTCGAGGTGAAGATCCAGTACGTACTAACCTCCCATTATGCTTGTGTAACACTTTTAAACTGGGCAGGGAAAATGTATCGGTACCAAAGAACAATACTTTGAGACCATTACTTTTGGTTTCCGTTGAATATGGCTGTGCGTAAAAACATTTTCTTTTAAATTTAAAACAATTTGATAAATTCCTTGAAAAAAACATATTATGCTAGGCTCACACAACCGCAAGCAGCTGATGTTGTTATTGTTCTAGGTTGATATGTTCTATCGATAAAAATAATCGATAGTAAACGGCATTATGTTGGTTAGAAAACGCCGACAAGTTATTAAAAAACTTAGGTGCCGATATTTTCAGCAAAATGAAAATTTAGAAAAATTAGGAAATAAATATATAAAAGATTAAATTAAATATTAAATTAAAATTCATGTTCTACTACTCCGAACCGTCGTTTGCTATATAGATGATCAGTGTTGCCAGTATTGAGGATTTCCCCCAAAAAGGGGATTTTTTCAGAATAGGAAGGAACAATACATCGTAGGAATGAAGAACTATGAAAAAATTGGGACTTGTATGAAAATATGATTTTCTAGTAATTGATTATTTTTTAAAATAATATACGCTCCTTTTTTCAATAGGTTACCGATTTTTTGGGGAAGATCAAAGAAAACTAAGGGGGGAAGTTTGAAAAATATTGGCAACTCTGCGCCAAATGAGCCGCCGCCGCAGAAAAAATCGTTCCACTTTGTTGTCTGGTCATTATTTCTTTGTTTTCTCCGTATTTTTTTCTTTTCGTGAGTTTTGATACTTCTCAAATGTTTTACAAGCTATTGGAATACCTGCTTGGACTTTTCGGCTAAAGAAATTCGAACTCACAATGGACACTGCTAATGGACAACAAAAACAACACCTTGCCCTGCGAGTGGCATTGGACACCATGAAAGATCGATGTTTTCTCCAGCAAAAACTCTTGAAAGAGGTAGAAGAAGAGAATCAAAAGCTACGTGAACGTCTGGCACAAAATACCAACAGCAGCGCCACAAGTATTCCAAATACAGGCGGTGGAGTTGCTGAAACATTTCAACTACGCCTGCAAGTATCCGAACTACAACGTCACAATGGTCAGTTGCAAGCCCACATCGATATGGTGTCTTCGGAAAATCGTAAACTTTGGTCGAGACTTTCACAAATCGCCAAAGAGAGTGAGGCATCAGATAATGCAGCAGCAACAGCGTCAGCAAACGAGGGAAGCCCCCGCTGCGGTAGCGGTGTATCGAATCAAAATCTAATACGATCAAAAACATTCACATTGAAAAGTGTCAATTCACCAAATCCTAATATACGTCATAAGACAGCCACTGTGGAGAGCTGTGAATCAGATATGCGTGATATCAGTTTGGAGGAAGGTGAAGCCTTGGAGGTGTACAGTGATGGTGATAAGGCACGGCCAAATGATGCAACAATGTCGGAAGTTACCATGGGTTTTGGCTATCTAAATGATGATAGCTCAAATGCGACACAGGACCAAGACTTCAATGCCGAAACTCAAAAGTGCATTGATAATTTGGCTGTAATACGTCGCGAGGCAATGAAACAGCAAAAAGAATTAAATTCAGTGTTTGCGCTGTTAGAGAGTCGAATTGGTGAGTAGTAAGAAAACTTGATTTTGTTTATGGTTATAGGTACCTTTACTTCTCAAGCGTCGGCTCGTCCATACCTAAAAACTGGACTCTTGGAGACGCTCTTGGGATACGTTTTATCTATGGAGGTTTAGCTCGTCTATGTAGGTTTAAACTCCTCCATAAAGCCTCATTGAGCTTCGGCTTGTCTATAAAGACCACAGGTCTTTATGACTATCTGGGTTCATGTTTACCTATAGCTACTCTGTGATTCAGACCGTCTATATATCCAGAATCTCTGACCTAAATCCGTTTTGGGCTTCTTTCGGGCCCTTAGACTTTCCACTTAGATTATTACTTCGCCAATATGGACTCCGATGGTTTCAGCTCTTTCGTCAGGGCTTTGTGGACTTTGGCTCGTTTGAGTAAACTTTTTGGATATATGTCCTCTTTTAAGACCACAGGTCCTTTTTTATGACTCTCTGGGTTCATGTTTATCTATAGCTACTCTGTGATTCAACCCGTCTATTTATCCAGAATCTCTGACCTAAATCCGTTTTTGGGCTTCAACTCGTCTTTAAAAACTTTCGGGGCCTTAGACATTCCACATAGATTATTACTTCGCCAATATGGACTCCCGTGGTTTCAGCTCTTTCGTCAGGGCTTTGTGGACTTTGGCTCGTCTGAGTAAATTTTTTAGATACATGTCCTCTTTAAAGCCTATCTGGTTTCATGAATACCTTTAGAGACTATGTCCTTCAATTTGTCTACTTATTTAGACTCAATTGTTGTCAGGCCGTTTTTACTGACTTTCTGGGCTCCATAAATAATGTCCGTACTTCAGCTAGTCAATATAGACATTGTTTCAAGAAGGCTTTGACTCGTCTCGGCTTATGGGTCTTCTTTAAAGCCACTCTCTACATGTTCTTGCTTACTGAGATTTAGCTCGTCTATAAGAATTTATGGTCTTAATTCGCTTTTTAAGCAATCTTTCTGGCTCCGTAGAACGCCCCTATAGAATATAAGAGCTTCAGCTCGTCAATGTGGATTCCTTATGTTGTTAGCTATTCCATGAAGGCTCTCTGTCTTCGACTCGTCTATATAAACTATGGAATAAAAGTCTCAGTTTAAGGTTCTCTGGGCTCGTCAACAGGGCCCTCTGGGTTTCAGCTTCTTTTTTCCATGTCCATACAGACCTCCTTGGCTGCATGTCTTCTATAGCCTTATTCCCGCCTAATGAGACTTTCCAGGTCTTCCTTAAAGACTCTCGAGAGTTATTCTCGTCTAATGAGGTTCTTTGAAATTCAGCACGCCTATATGTATAGATCAAATGGTCGCCAGCTCTAACAGCTTAGCTCGACAATATGGACTTTCTGGGCATTTCCTATTCTATGTAGACTATTCATGCTTTAACTCGCCTTCATATTCTTTCTGGGTTTTAGTTCAACTTTACAGACAATATAGGTGCTCTTTGAAGACTCATCAGGCTTCAGCTTCAGCTTGTCCATACAGACCTCCTGAGATGTACATTTTCTTTAAAGCCTCTCGAGATTTATTCTCGCCTAGTGAGATTCTCTAAAATACTGCTTGTCGATATATGATCGCCATGTCTACCAGATTCTTTGGGCTTCAATACGTTTTTATAGACTCTATGTGCCTAAGCTCGACCCTACGGACTTTCTGTGTTTCAGCCAAGGCAAGGCTCTGGTTCGTCTATATAGACTTTCTGGGCTTTTGCTTGTCTACATAAAATTCACTCTGGGATTTCACTAGTCCGCATATGTGTGAATGTTTCTATAAAATACTTTCTAATTGTCAATTTTTTGTTTCTTTTTCAGCTCTCCATCCCTGCCCCGAATGTGCAAAGAAAAGCAATAAACCTGAAATGGCCGATAAAAGTTTGGAAACAGATGAAAGCTTAAATACCGATTCTAAATATACAAATCACAACAATCATTCGTATTCCTACAATGAATCATCCAAAGGAGTCAATGTCCCGATCACACCAGTTATTCTTCAGAAACAACCGCCACAGCAGCATGAAGAAGCTTTGCCACCCACAAACCATTTGAATATACTGCAAGAAAAAATCATGGCAGATGAAGCCAACAAAATTTGTCCAATGTGTGGTAAACTATATGACAGTACCATACCCTTCGAGTCGTTTTGCGAACATGTCGAGGAACATTTTCGCGATGAAAGTTTGGATTTGGTGCACAGTATGGAGAATAATTTTGAATTTATATCGCATACCGTTGGAGATTTCTGACCCAAACGGAATCGCATATATTTTTCATCTGATCTATAGACTGTGTAGACATAATGCAACAAAACAAAAGAAGCGAATGCCAGGTGTTATGAAAGTGATTTTATATGTGACAAATTTTGTTTGGAACTCAAAAAAAGAAATGAGATGTGGGTGTGTGAGAAGGAAGAATTTATTTTATATATTGGAATTTCATTAAAGCATAACTTGGACTGATGAATACTAAACACTTTGTTATATAAAATATAAACTTTTTGTTGTCTGATCTGATCGATGAAGAAAAAAATTAAATGAAATCATCGACAAAAATTGTGCTAATCAATTTATAGAAACTACTGAAAGTATATACAAATCGATACATTCGTACACAAAACATGTTATCTAATCTGCCTTTGGTTTCTATCCAATGTTATATGTACTTTTATTGAATACAAAAAAATACTACATTTATTCTCTATATATATACATTTTTTTCCCTATAATTATCTAATATTATTATATGAATATTGTTAGGTTTATGTTTATGCTGGAATAAAACAACTGATTGCAAAACCTTGAAGGAAGGATAAAATTAGAAGAAGAATGTGTGGTTTATTTTTATTTTTGGTATCAAGATCGTGTAGGATTTCTTAGGGAAAACAAGAAAAATAAATATTTGAGTATCCAAAACTGAAGGATAGTTGGATTTTATATGTGCGAAATTCTGGAATAAGAGCCACCGGTAAGACATGGATAATTTTTTCTTTCTGACTCATTTTTAATTTTGTGTATAGAATTGAATTCCTATTTTGCAGAAGTCGAAAATCAAAAATAGAAGTAATTAAAGTAAAAATAGTCCATAGATCTGAAGCGAAGTTCATAAAAAAGCTCTAACACATGGGAACTCAATATGAAAAAATCCATCATCAAATCAATGGCCATACTATTTACCAACGGACCAAATGGAGATGAGAAAATAGCTGAATGTGCAGGTGGAGGGGCACATAATTCCGACCACTAACTCCCAAAATCCTTTGGATCGTATTCAACAGTACGTTCAAGAAATGTAGCAACTCTTCTAGAGACGTAATAGTTGTTGCTTGAATGAGACATATCCCGAAAATTTGAGACATTCATTCTGGACGTCGCTTCTACTTATTCCATAGAAATTTCCAACTTTGTTTCTCGGCGAGTGCTTTAAAATCGGAAAAATGCTTGTAGATAATCGCCTACTGGTGAGGAAGGAATTTAATTCCTAGAAAACACCCAGATGTGAAGCAAAAGGTCTTCTCCCATTTTGTGGGGGGAGGTACCAGAAGGAGTCGACCGATATATCCCATTTTCACACCAGACTTTGAGTTAGTAAAAATATTGTGATGTGTGTAGTTTGAAGACAATCAGACACGCACATCACATTTTATTAGTGTTATAATTATTCAAAATTTTGACCCTTTGTGGGGGAGGTATAGTATATATCGGTTGTAGTGAACCGATATTGTCAATTCTCGCACCTGACCTAGCACTGATGCAAATACTAGGATTCGCAAAGTTGGAGCAAAATCGGAGTATACTTTCTTTTTCTGTGCAGTAAATTATTATTTTTGAAAATGTGATATTTTGTGTGGGAGGAGTGGACCGATATTGCCTATCTCCGAACTCGATCGAAGTTTGATAATAATATTACGATGTACCAAGTTTGGATCAAATTGGATACTCTCTTCATGAGTTATCGTGCGCACCAGACAGACAGACGGACGGACATCGCTAGATCGACTCCAAATGTCCTGAAATGGATTTGGTCCAAAGAGACCTAGAGTCTTAAACCGTTATTTCGATGAGGCACGTTTTGGCCGTATCAAATCTCTAGCCATATGGCTGAGGGTGAAAAAATTATTTTATTTAAGTCCTTCTATGCAAGTCTGTCCGATATCAAAAAGCCTTTCATCGAAGTAGATGGAAGAGGATGGTACTTGGAAACCGGTTGCAGGGCATCTAAGACCATCTGGCCGGCAATATCGAGAAGAAGAATAAACTCTCTTCTGTCACTAAGTAGGTCAGATCTCAGAACCTTGGAGGGTATACTGACTGTCTCCCGCAGTATTAGATAGCTGTAATCAAGGTGGGATAACAGTGCTTCTGACTTCTGTAGACATTGTGAAGCTGCAGTAGAGGTTGAGACGATTGAACATCTACTATGTAGATGTTGAATGATAATCAACAAGAGATATAGGCTAATTGGCAGGTGGAAAATAGAAGCTCTCAAACATGGATTCCATTATCATTCATAAGTTTGCTAAAATCATGCCCTGGCCAGTAAGACCTCCCTGTCAACTATACTTCTTTCTATAAAATCTTTCTTCTCTTTTTCGCTCTCCTATATCTCCCCAATCAAGAGCAACTTGATTCTTCCTAAGATGAACAAAATGTACCCAAAGTATGCAACTGAGTGAGTCTATCTTCAATCTACAGCGATTAATCAGTAGGAAAAGAATGCTTCGAAAACGTCCCATTAAAATATAACGAGGTAATATTTCGTACGTTCCAATATCAGCTTCAGTCTCAGCCTCAGCTATGTCTTGTCTGGGCTATCATATTGCGTATGAACACAAAATGAATTTTCGTTTGGATTTTCAATTATAGCAGCTTCATTTTCATTATCATCCGACCATGAATCCTAATCGGGATCTTCGTTCTCTGCACGGTCGGCAACTTTGGCGTTATCGTTACCTTCGGCTCCGGTCAATATTGTATTTCTACCATCGAGGGTTCCTCATTGTCAGCATTGTCTCGTTCCATGGCGGAGTGTTCCTCTTGATTAATATCATTGTTGGCTGGCAAAGAGACTCGCCTGTCTAACACTAGCGGATAGTTCGGATCGGTAATGGAATCTTTAATTTGCTGTTCATTTTGTTGATCCTCCTCACCTGTCTGACCATTTCCAGCTTGAGCATTCGACATCCTTGAACCAAACCATCTACAGAATGTCCAATATCTACAAAGTAACTTTAAAAATTATTTTATATGCCGAAAATATTATGCAAAACGCTTTTCATCTAAAAAAGATACCCACAGACCCCATAGAAGATCGAGAGAAGATATAAATGGTATTTCGTTAATAAATCTCTAGGCCCATTGTTTATAAAACACAATTCAGAAATCATTGTTCACTTGACATTTTTTTTTTTTTAATTTTTTAAATTTATTTTTTGTTTTATTTAATAGTAATAATAATTTCATTAAATGTATGTTTGTTTTCTTAGAATTTTCTTTGTTTTGTTTTTTTTTATTACACGTATTGTTGTTTTAAATCAATTAATATATAGTTAGGTTTTAAATTGGATTTCAATATATTGAACCCATATCGCAAATACATTTGTTTTTGTTTTCCATTATTTTCTTTAAAATATAATATGCCAGTCTCAAGGCATCTAAAGCCTTTTTTTCCTAATCCAAATATGCATGTCCATTTCAAGTAATGAAAAATTTATGTAAAAAAATAATCGTACACAATTTATGGAGAATTATTTCGTTTTCTTTTGGGACAAATTAAAAAAAAATTGAGTTAATAATATTTCTTTTGTTTAAAACGAATTTTTAAATTATAATATCAATTTGTTGTACGATTATAACACGACATAATAAACGAATTTCAAATCGTTAAGATTTTAACTACAATTATTGATTTCTTTAAAAGAACTTAACTGGTATCTTCTTTTTGTCATCTCGGCCACACAAAAATTACGTGCACAGATGAAACATTTTCTTCCCATCCTTTTTATCATTTCAACATACTCAACATGCAATTCCTTTGATCGTCACATTCTTCTACGTGTTGTACAACAACTCCAGCATCGATGCCAACATTTGCGCAGAAAACGCTTCACTGTGCCCCACCTAATTCAATCGATATTTACACCAGCATTCATGAGGCGTATGAAATGATAAAATGTGTTTTGTCCCCGAACGTTATCATCGGCATGTTCACTGGCCGAACGTATCCGGACACTGCTCGATGAAATGCCAAAGAATTGTTTGGGTATGAGATTGGATTCGACGGCTTTAAATTCCCAACCGAGATGATGTTCACAGATTTTACAAACGATTATATGCCATTGATAACTGTAAAGAAATGAAAAGATTTTGAAAAAATGTAAAGGCCGAAAATGAGTCATCTTCAAAATGCAATTGGAGTACAAAGTCGTCTTATAGATTTATACTATATTTGAGAATTTTTTGACCATTTCAAAATTTGAATTTCCATTCGGTTGTGTCATCTGTTTTGTAACGTCATTTAATTTGTCTTTCCTGCACGGACATCAACTTACCCCGGAAACCAGCTGAATTCCGTTGACGGTGATCCACTATATAAAATATTTTGGCGATTAACTTGATAGACAGTATTTGTTTCATGTATATAACCGGCTAAAAATAAAAGCATAATTATTTTCAATAACTTTAAATTGATATTCTACGATCATACCAGAATTGCAATATTGTGATTGAACACCATGTTTGGACATGGCAAATAATTCACGGCAATTTGCAATGTGGGTGCCACAGGTGCGACAAATGTAAACGGCTTCCTACAAAAGCGAAAAAATTGAAACATAATACTTAAACTCTTCTCCAAACCCACAACTTACCTCCTTAAATGTACTGGCAATTAGTTTTAAACGTGTATTCACTGTATTGGCCAGGAATACGGATTTCAACATCTTTTCGGGTAAATGTAAATTGCGTACCAACCAATAGGACAACTGTGTTGGATCGGCAGGCATTGTATCAATTTTATGTTGTGCCAATTGGGTACGGGCTTTTTCAATTATTGTTGACATATTATGTGTCTCGTAAACATGTGCCGGCCATGGTGTAGTGGCAGCTTGGAAACGTCGATAGGCCTGCTGCATTGAGGCAATGTCACGAAAACGATTCATTGAGCCCATATTCATTTGTTTGAATGGTTCGGGTAAATAGATGTCGGGTAGAATTTTAACAAAGCCGGTACATTTCATGCGTGGATGGGTGTTGATGTATTCCAAGGGCCTAAAATGGATAATTTTTAAATGGTTGCTATAATTGGCTTTAATTGAGTTTAGCTCCACCTACCTTCGGAGCTAAATCCAATTTGTTCCCAATTATTTATCAAATACCTCAATATGAGAATTCATACTCACACTGTCAAATCATTCACTTTTGTCACAAATCGTTGCAATGCCCTCGACTTGATCAGCGTATTGCCACTGTCATCTGTGCCCAGCTCATAAATCTGACAAGTGACACCATACAGTAAATGATTATTTTTTCTTTCAGCATTCGCAGCATTGTTATTGGTTAGTGTGGGGAAGCAAACACCAAAGAGTATGCCATTTTGTGCATCAATATCACCCTCTATGATGGTTGTAGAACTATCGACCATAAACGGTAAAACTTCACCGGGAAATAGGACATGTTGATGGATAAATAAACGCAATTTGATATACTGATCGGCATCTAAATAGTTGACCCCCGAAACACGATTCATATTCGGTCCCAAGTAAGAGTGTTCTGCCGGCAGATTTGTATCAAAGCGTACAGCATTCTCATTCATTTCCTCCTCTTGTTCCATCGACATATTACCCTCTTCGTTTTCTTCATTTTGATTATTTTCAGCATTCTGGCCGCCCTCCTCATCGTTCTGTGGCGGTGTGCTTTCATCATTGGCAGCTTCCATTTCGGCATTGGCTTCGGCCTCGGGATTTTCTTCGTCTGGCGTGTTCATGCCCAACCGTATAAGTCTTCTACGGCGATTGTTTAGTATGAAGAGGATGCGTCGAAAGCGTTGCATTAACATATTGCGAGGTAATATTTCGGATGGTCCAATATTGGCCTCAGTCTCCGCCATGCTACGTCTTGTCTGGGCTATCATATTGCGTAGAACCACAAAATGATTATTGAATTGTCCTAAATTTGGATTTTCAATTATTGCAGCTTCATCCTCATTATCCTCCAACCACGAATCCAAATCGGAATCTTCGTCCTCTGCACGATCGGCAGCATTGGCGTCATCATTACCTTCGGCTCGGTCAATATGGAATAAATCTAAGACACTTGGGGGTATTTCTACCATCGAGGGTTCTTCATTGTCAGCATTGTCTTGTTCCATGGCGGAGGGTTCCTCTTGATTTGTATCATTGTTGGCTGGCAGAGAGACCCGCCTGACCAAGACTAGCGGATAGTTTGGATCTATGCCGGCATCTTCAATTTGCTGTTCATTTTGTTGATCCTCCCCACCTGGCTGACCATTGCCAGCTTCAGCGTTCGATTCCAAACTATGGCTTCTGCTACTAACGTCAGCAGCTGTTGTTTCTTCTGTTCTCTCCTCGGATATATTATCATTTTCATTTACACGATTTTCTTCCTCATTCGAACCAAGGGAATTGGTAGCGGTGGCTGTCGGTTCATTTGTTTGCTCCAATATGGGTGCCCTTTCATTCCCTGGCGACACACTTTCCGTATGGTTCGTTCTCTGGACAGTTGTTTCACTGGGATTGGGAGGCGACGCAATATGTTGTTGCTGTCCCTCTGTTGCTTCGTTTATGTTTGTATCTATAGAAAAGAAAAATAAACAAATTAATTTCGGGCATATATTAAGTTTGTGCAGTTAATGTGACCTTTTACCTTCATTTGGTTCTGCTTGTTCATCGACTTCCATGGTTTTTTAAAACTAATTTTATGAATTTTCTAGTTTTTATTTATTTTTTATTGCTACCAGACAACGTAGTGGAACAAATTTTTTCGACGGCGGTGTGCTGCCCTTTCTTTGTACTCTGTACACAAAGCCAATAACAAGTAAACACCAACACAGACAAATTCCCTGCATGCATTTTATGTCGGCTCCCTGCAAACCATGGTAGAAGAATATAGGTAGACGTATCGACGCAGCTGCTGAGACAATGAAATGTCAAACCAATTTTGGAATTGAAAATGTTGAATGAAAATTTTTTTAAATTTGTAAAAATTGTTGAAAAAGGCATTTTATAATAACCTCCGAATGGCGTCGTATAAGAAAACATATAAAAAGCTACTTATATCTGAAAATAAATTAAAAAAATTTTGACATATCAATGCTCCCAAGCGTTGATGCATCTACCTGTATTTTTCTACCATGCCTGCAAACAGTTGGTAATGACTTTTAAAAGGTGTTTTTTAAGCTGCATAGAACTTTAAATTGTAAAAAGTAACACAAAAAATTAAATGTTGATCAAACTTTTTTTATTTTTTATTTTCAGTATACTCTGACAAATCATCATGAATAGACTCACGCTTGAACAACGCTACGAAATTATCCAAATCTACTTTATGACTTTATGACCCGTTGTTTTATCGCAAAAATGTGTTCAGCGATGAGGCGCATTTTTGACTTAACGGGTCTGTTAATAAGCAAAATTGCCGCATATGGAGTGATAAATTGATTTCGAGAAGTGGACCTGTCAATTGGCCTGCAAGGTCGTGCGATTTGACGCCTCTCGATTATTTTCTGTGGGGCTAAGTGAAGTCACTGGTTTATGCTGATAAATCAGCAACAATTGACGCCTTGTTTGTGTTATTTGTGACATACGACCAGCAGTGCTCGTAAAAGTGGCCAAAAATTGGACATCCAGAATGCACTTCGTCAAGAACAGCCGCGGTGCCTATATGACCGAAATCATTTTCAAATGTTAACGTCACGAATTAATCTTTTGAATAAAAAAAAGATTAAAATTTAATTTTTTGTGTTATTTTTTACAATTTCAAGTTCTATCGACTTAAAAAAAACACCCTTTACTGATTTCCGTAATAATAAATGATTCCGTTTTGGGATAAATAAACCACTTGTTGGATGGTGTGACCACTTGTTATATAGAAATTTTAATTAGCTTTCATATTGGTTTTAATATGTTTTGTGTCTAACCGACTTTTGGGTCAAATATTCGGGTATCCGGGTCCGTCACGCGACAAAAAAATACCCACTTCTGTAAAAAATTTCAAATAATCCGAGAGTTTTTACTAAACTAGACTTGTTCCCAAGACTTTAGCATCAGGGTTGGGGTTTTCAAAATTATTCATTAATTATTGTACCATGGAGATATTAGCTGACTACAATTTTTCCATTGTGCATTGTTTTGAATTAAAAAATACAATAATTTGCATTCATTCATACATTTTGCATTCACAGTAGTTCAACTTCAAAAGTGTAAACGTACTTTTATTATTTGAATATGTAAACATTGATAGCGACATCTATTGCTTTGTCGATGACTGAGGTGATGAACAGCTGACTAGTTCTTCACTACGAATTCGATTTCTAAAACCCCTTGTCGGTTGAAATTTGTTTTTTGTTTTGATTCTTGATATTTATCTGTCAATTTCTTTTCTTGTACTTTTCTAGCTAACAGTGCGTCTCTTGGATATACTCACTAGCCCACTAGGAGTTTCAGGGGTTTAGAAACATTATTGGTCACCCATAACAAGTTATGATGACACTGTGATGGAAACCACATTACCAACTTCCCAACTTTTAAACATCACTTTTGGATTCTAGAGGTTCTGGAGGCTTTTTTGTATTTTCACAGAGACTCATCAAGGAACTAGTCAATTAGAAAGTAAATTAAGTGTAATAAACCAAATATATAAAAAACATAAAGCCTGGTAGTAAAATAAATTAAATATAACTTGAATATGGGTCGAATAAGTTGGAGATTTCATAAGAGAACTGAGGGATTAGTGTAAGTTGAGTAAAAGGAGCTTTCCCACAAATCTAAATTAGATTTTTTAATTATATTCCTTATATCCTTCTTGCTTCCAGAAATTATTTCCGTTTACGATGGTCCTATATGAAACTGTGCTGGCATTCGCTGACCCACAACAATCACATGAATGCTTCCTATGCCACAGATGTGTGTATGGAACCAGTGTTTTGGATTGTCGATAATTATACACATCTATTGGGACCGGTAAGAGGAATTTTAATAGAAAGCCACACATTGATCCTTTTTCAAAATCATTTTCATTTTTTCTTTGCAGTTCTTTGTTGTTGGCGTTGCCTTATTAACTACTGCCGTCGTTAGTATTGCCTATTGGATAGGACTTCCATTTTGGTGGGACAAAAGTCCAACTGCCACTGTTATACTTTTAATAATTGGTAACTGGCTGTTACTGAATGTGATATTTCATTATGTTATGGCGGTCATAACACCAGCCGGAGAACCACCAGAGGTAGGTAGAAAAAAGTAAGAGTTTTTTTGTTTTTAATACACGTTACGTTGCTAATTTCATTTTTTATGTAAAAATCACCTAGAATTTTAAAGATATGCTCAAGGCAAATGATAGTATATATTTATAATTTAAATGTGATTTCTTCAACTTTTCTTAGGAGTATTTGTTTTGGTCGAAAAGGTTTATTTCCTATCAAGTATCAAAACGATATTCGGCATCATGTAAAATTTTGGCGCACATATCAAGATTTCTACAAACCGAGGACTATCAAATCCTCTTGGAATTTTTCACAGCCCCATCCGGACAGTGAAATTAAAAGCAGTAAAAGTGCTAACTTTATCGACAATAAGGTTTTTATATACCAAAAAATTGATGATTTTTTATGGTACCTCTTAGGTATATAACATTCTTTTGTTCAGAAACTCCCATTGGATTTTGATCTAGAATATTCCTTCCTTTGACACTTTCCCCACAAAAATAAAATATTAAGGGAGATTTGGATTTAGAATGAAAACGTCTTCAATTAGAAGGTAAAAAACTTCCACACATAATTTTTGCTTATAGTACATACATTTCAAATGTAATTTTCTTGAAAACTATTACACCTAGATATATGATTTGTTCTGAGAGTTATAGTGAAATTTTGTGTAGAATATTTCTTCCTCTGATACATTCTGTCTAAAACGAGATTTTATGTTACATTCATACAAAATCAATTACAAAAAAAAAAAAAAAACGAGGAAAAATTGAACAAAAAAGGATTTTGGGTTTTTTTGGCAACATTGATGCAGATATTTTTTCGATATATAATGGAAATAGAGATTTATTTTCTTTGGTGACTAATAGTGAAATTGGATAGAGAATAATTTTGTCTTTGAAGGCATTCTTCTAATATGATGTTATATAGGAGTATTTTGAATAAACTCACATAACCTAAAAAATTTATAGGGTTATAATATATTTTTGAATATATATGAATTCCTAGAGTTTAGGTAAGATTTAGACTTTTGGTGTCTTTTGCTTACTATAGTAGAATTATATTTATGACAAATAATTTTGTGGAATATTTTTCTTTGAAAAAATCCCGTTTAAAGTAAGTTTTTAATCTTGTTTTAAAAAAGAACCACTTTTTCTGATTCGCTTGAGTATTATTTTTTTTTACGTTTTACAATTATTCTAATATAATCTATCTGTAATATTGCAGAAGACATTATATACCTAAAATGTGAGGGTTCCAGAGAATTTTTATCCTAAAATGTGAATATCGATGAAGCTCATAAAACCCGAAATTATCATCGGATTCCATTCAGACTTGGCAAATCGCAAAATATCCATCAACACAAGATCTGTTATAAACACGGTAGAGATCGGACCATTTCTTCCGGTACCTCCCCTACAAAATGTCAAAATTTTGAATAGCCAAAAAGATTATAAAATCCGAAATAAGCACCCGGTTCTCTTCATATTTCACGCATTCCATTATTCCTACTAACACAAGATTTGCTGTGTATCTGTCCACTCCCTCTGGTACTTTCCCACAAAGGGTCAACATTTTGAATATCCATGAAGCTCATAAAACGCGAAATTAACATCCGATTCTATTCAGACTTGACACATTTCAATATTTCTATCAGCACAAGATCTGTTACAAAGATGGTAGAGAGCGAACCTTTTTTTTGGTACTTCGCAAAGGATCATAGTTTTGAATAACCAAAACGATTATAAAATCCGGAATAAGCATCCGGTTCTCTTCATATTTCACGCATCCCATTATTTCTACTAACACAAGATTTGCTGTGAAGATGGAAAATATCGGTCAACTCCTTCTGGTACTTCCCCACAAAGGGTCAACATTTTGAATATCCATGAAGCTCATAAAACGCGAAATTAACAACCGATTCTATTCAGACTTGGTACATCTTTATATTTCCATCAAAACAAGATCTGTTATAAAAATGGTAGAAATTGAACCTTTTCTTCTGGAACCTCTCCCACAATAGGGTCAAAATTCCATGAAGCTCATAAAACGCAAAATTAATATCCGATTCTATTCAGACTTGGCACACCTAAATATTTCAGGTGCTGATCTGTTATAAAGATTGTAGAGATCGGACCATTGTAGAGATCGGACTGGTACCTCCCCCACAAAGGTCATAGTTTTGAATAACCAAAACAATTATAAAATCTGGAATAAGAATCCGGTTCTCTTTATATTTCACGCATCCCATTATTTCTACTAGCACAAAATTTGCTGTGAAGATTGAAAATATCGGTCCCCTCCTTCTGGTACTTTCCAACAAAGGGTCAACATTTTGAATATCCATGAACATAACATCCGATTATATTCAGACTTGGTACACCTTAATATTTCCATCAAGACAAGATATGTTATACAAATGGTACAGATTGGATCATTTCTTCTGGTACCTCTCGCACAAAGGGTTAAAATTTTGAATATCCATGAAGCTCATAAAACGCAAAATTAACATCCGATTCCATTCAGACTTGGCACACCTTAATATTTCAATCAGCACAAGATATGTTACAAAGATGGTAGAGATCGAACCATTTCTTTTGGTACCTCCCTCACAATGGGTTATAGTTTTGAATAACCAAAACGATTATAAAATCCGGAATAAGCACCCGGTTCTCTTTATATTTCACGCATCCCATTATTTCTACTAACATAAGATTTGGTGTGGATGGAAAATATCGGTCCACTCCTTCTGGTACTTTCCCACAAAGGGTCAACATTTTGAATATCCATGAACATAACATCCGATTTTATTCAGACATCTTAATATTTCCATCAAGACAAGATCTCTTGTAAAAATGGTAGAGATTGGACAATTTCTTCTGGAACCTTCCCCACAAAGAGCCAAATTTTTGAATATCCATGAAGCTCAAAAAACGCAAAATTAACATCCGATTCCATTCAGACTTGGCACACCTCAATATTTCTATCAGCACAAGATCTGTAACAAAGATGGTAGAGATCGAAACATTTCTTTTGGTACCTTCCTCACAAAGGGTCATAGTTTTGAATAACCAAAACGATTTTAAAATCCGGAATAAGCATCCGGTTCTCTTCAAATTTTACACATGCCATTATTTATACCAACACAAGATCTGCTTTGAAAATTGGATATATCGACGCACTGCTTCTGGTACTTCCCCCACAAAGGGTTCATAATTTTGAAAAGCAAAACTGGAAATAACATTTTTTTTTGCTAAAGCAAGATATGTTGTGAAGATGATAGATATCTTCCAAACCCTTCTGGTACCGCACCCACAAAGGGTCACAATTTTCAATACTTTTATCTGTCATAACTTGCGAAACAGAAATCTGATAGGAATATTTATTTTATCGGAATTTATGATTTCGTATAAAATTGGATATAAATGTTTGATTTTCTTGTAACTTTGTCTGTGTTGAGATGAGGCTTGAAAATTGAATACTTTGGTCGATGGTGCTCTCACTCACATTTCAACATTTTCTAAAAAAAAGGATGTAACCAATATGACCCAAACCCAGACCGTTGCAATATTTATATCACATTTTTTAAGGTCCCATATATTGGCCCATTCCTTCGCAATCCATTTCATAAAGGTTCAACAATTTGAATAATCATAACAAAAGTCGAAATATATTAATAATCGAACATTCCTGGGGGTATACATCTGTTGGCAAAACCGACTGATACTTTTTATCTTTTTGGCTGCTGGATTTTCTTTTAATTTTACCTGTTGTCTTGCACACTGTTATTAAATTTCCTGTTTTTCATTATTTCAGGGTGCATCTCTAAAGGAAGTTGTTGGCATTTGCAAGAAATGCATATCGCCAAAACCTCCACGAACACATCATTGTTCAGTTTGCAATAAATGTATACTCAAAATGGATCACCATTGTCGTAAGTAATTGAAAACAAACAAAAATTTCTAATATTATTTAATTCTCATTATCTTTATTTATGTCATTCAGATAATCTAAAAATTGATTGCACACTTTATTTTCCATTAATTTTCGACATAGACATAACTAACCACCGGTGTTAGGGGATCCGGAGCAATTACATGACCAATCAATGGTGTCAGCGTTTCGTAGGCATGTCCTTCAACAGTGCGATAGGCAAAATTTCCATTAACTCTTGAACTTTCCACAATGGCGGTGTCATGTTGGGGAGTGCGTACAACCGTTGTTAAGGGCATCAAAACACTTGCAGCCCAAATGTATTGAATCAACAGCAAAAATACCACGAATATCTAAAATTGAATGGCATTTAAATGAAAAATGGTATTTTAGTTTTGTCGATTGTTTGAAAATGCTTACCTTCATCTTGAGTTTTAACTTAGCCCTGTTTTCTCTTCAATGTTCTTTTACAAACTATCCTTGTTGGAGTGCCTGTCCATGTAATTTATAGAAGACGAAGAATTGAATAATGCAGTGCTGTTTTCTATATTTGGTAATAGGTTTGTCAACATTTGTCCAAGTTCAAGATCAAGTTCAATCGTAACGAAAACTTGTTTTCGTATGGATGGTCAATGTTGATGTCCTAAAAATGCATGCATGTGTAAGAATTTTTCTTTGTAAATGGAAAATACCAAACATTGAAAAAGGGAAGAAGGGGGGAAGAGTTATTGACTTTGACGGATGGTGTGTGTGTGTGTGGTACGGGTTTGATATGTTTATATGTACTGTGGTGCATGCTTGCATTTGTGATGGATTTGCACAGTACCATTTTTGTATAAATGGCGTATCCAAATGAATGTTTAAGTGATGTAAAGGACTCACTGCTTTGTTCCCCAAACCACGTTGAGAATTTGGAAGATGTGTTATTAGGAATTTAAATAAATGACCATTGTGTTCTGTGTCTTTTAGTCCCAAAGAAAATATATAATAGTAAAAGAGAAGGAAGTGAAGATAACCTCACGTAGGCGATGTGGTCACACAGCAGTCACAGTCTTCTGTTCGTCATCATGGGACATATAGTAGAAGTTCGAAATAGTCTATGTCGCTTTTGTCTCATTTGACTGTGACTGAACTTATGTCTCGTTACTACCATTCTACAATTGGATTTGTTTGCCTTTACTCTTAATCCCTAAAGGAAATTACTTTCACATTGGGAGGTAAGGCTATATGGTTTCGGAAACTATGCATTAAGATTCTTTGAGCCATGAAAGTCTAACAAACTGACATCCCCATATTACAATAGATTTCTCAAACTAAGGCTACCAAGGAGAACTTGGGTTCCGCTATACAAGATTATTTTCTTTTGAAAATTTAGCTAACTTCGCTGGCTGTATCCAAATATTTTCTGGAGTGATTGGGGTAGATTTGACAAAGGGCTTGTATCACACCCCGGGCAGACGTTTCTCACATCTTCATCAATTCGTGTCCAATACGAATTAAGATGACTGCACCATCCTGAAAGCAATTCATACCTTAGTTGTTATTGCCATTTGTGATTGCATCAGCACGAATGCTATTCAGATCCGCCTGATAGTTTTTTTGATCTAGAGTTTTTCTCTTATAGCGTTGGAACTCCCCCTCTAGATCCGTAGGTCTTTCCTGACGTCTGGATGGGGGAATTTTAACCAACTTGTGAGGGTTTGGCTTAGATGGCTTATCGGGATGGCTTCGGGATGCGTTCCCTCTTCGTCGTTGGACGAGAAGAAAACTCGGTGACCTTCGGGAGTGGCGGGCCATTCTTCATTTTTTTCTCTTCTGCGTTTCTTGGCTGAGGTTTCAGGCTCAACTAGGCTCAACAGTAGAAGCTATCGTTCCAGCAGCCGGAATATTGCTGTCCTCCGCAAGGTGGTCAGGGTATTATATTTTTGTGCATTTGTTTGTAACAGGCAAAAGGAAACGACATAGACCCATAGTTCCTTTTGATGATCTGGATAGAATCACATTCTGAATCGATTTATGCATGTCCGTTCGTCCGTCTGTCTGTCCATGTATTTTTGTAAACAAAGTACAGTTCGCATTTAGTGCTCTATCCAGATGAAATTTTGCACAAATCATTTGTTTGGCCCAAGGACGAACCCTATTGAAATTGGAGATAATCGGTCACAATTTAGATATAGCTCCCATATATATATATTCGTCCGATTTGCCTTTTATTGTGCACCAAACGTGTAATATCAGCCCGAATAGTATGGAATTTTGCACATACAACCAAATTAGGCCTGAAAATAAGTATGCCAAATTTGATAGAAATCGGTTCAGATATAGCTATAGCTCCCATATATATTGTTCATCCGATTTGTTATATTTGTTACCCACAGCCGTAATATGCACTCCGTAACAACGATATTCAGGGAAATATATCAAATACAGCTCAGAAATATATTTGCCAAATTTTATCGAGATCGGTTCCGATTTGGATATAGCTCCCATATCCGATTTCAAATTAATTGTGCACCAAATGGGCAATACAAGTCCGAAATTAAAAGATACAAATACTTCGGCATATTTAGTCCTTTGAACTTTAAATTATAATTATTATCATAGAGTGTATGATTGAATTCTCCCATAAAAACTTTTAATTGTTATGCGGAGCTCTACTAAATTAGCAAAGTGGTGTAGGGTATCATAAAGTCGGCCCCGTCCGACTTTAAGACTTTCTTTACTGGTTTGATTTATTTTTAAAAAATAATTCCTTTTATTGTATTCTTTTTCCAATTTCCATCATAGCTTGGCTCAACAACTGTGTAGGTTATGGTAATCATCGATACTTTTTCCTTTATATGCTTTACACCACTCTTGGATGTCTGTTCTTGATTGTATTTGGTATTGAAATTGGCTATAAATATTTGTGGTTGGATCATGGTGAAAATTGGACGGAGACCGAACCACTGGAGGGCCAACCGGTGAAATTAAATTTGAGTGGACACATTATACCGGTGGTAAGCTTTAAATTTTATTAAAATATTTTGAAATTAAACAACAATTATAAATATATTTGTCAGACACATCTAAATGAATACGATGAAGATTTACTTTTGCCCGCCCAACACAATTTACCCACCCCGGCAGAATTGTATGATGTGAATAGTGCCCATATAGCCTCACGAAGACGGGCTCTATGGTTTATGGCATTTATGTGTGTGGCAGTGGTAATAGCATTGGGTACTCTCTGCAGCTGGCATGCTAAACTAATTACCCGTGGTGAAACAAGCATTGAGGCTCATATAAATCAATCGGAACGCCGGCGGTATCAGGCACAAAATAAGATATACATCAATCCCTACAATTTTGGTCCCAAAAAGAATTGGCGTTTATTTTTGGGCTTAGTAAGGGGACGGTAGGTTAAACATATGCATAATCTGGCGATGAGCATCATTATATCTAAAAATCCCATAACCTTTTTATTTTATTTTACAGTACATTTTGGCGTACAGTACTTTTACCATCTTGGCATAAACCGGAAGGTGATGGCTTGTCTTTTCACACAGTTCATGATTATGAATATGCAAAGCAAATTGATGAATGGCCATAAAACATAAAGCAAGGGAAGATGTTTTTGCTTTTCTGCTTCTGCAATAGGACTCAAATTTACTTAAACCTATTTAGACATAATTCATTCCGACATTTTGCATTGTAAATTTTTGTAAAGTTATTTTTTATTATTATCAACTTAACTTATATTAAGTTTATGTCAATGCATTTATAAACAATCTAAGTCATATATAATTGTTTTTATTTTCGAGCCAAGTATGTTAAATATAATTTTAAAATTTTATGACAATTTTTAAATAAATGGAATATTGTAAGATAATGCCCGAACTGCAATCTGCTACACCTTCCCATCTCTACATAAAAAACCAGTAAAGAAAGTCTTAAAGCCGCCCGACTTTCTGATACCCTACACCACTTTGCTAATTTAGTAGAGCTCCGCATAACAATTAAAAGTTTTTATAATTTAAAGTTCAATGGACTAAATATGCCGAAGCATTTGTATCTTTTAAATTCGGACTTGTATTGCCCATTTGGTGCACAATTAATTTGAAACCGGATAAAGATATATATGGGAGCTATATCCAAATCGGAACCGATCTTGATAAAATTTGGCAAAAATATTTCTGAGCTCTATTTCATATATTTCCCTGAATATCGTTGTTACGGAGTGCATATTACGGTTGTGGGTAACAAATATAACAAATCGGATAAACAGTATATATGGGAGCTATACCTATATCTGAACCGATCTTCGCCAAATTTGGAAAACTAGCTTCTATACTCAATTCGGTCGTAAGTGCCAAATTCCATCCCATTTGGACAAATATTATACGTTTGCTGCACAATAAAAGGTAAATCGGAAATGTGATTCTATACAGATCATCAAAAGGAACTATGGGTTTCCTTTTGCCTGTTACCTTGTGGTGTAGGGTATAGTGAATGACTGATTGATAAAAAACGGCTGAAGCTAGAATCTTAAAGTTTTGTGTGTGGGGCCACGTTGCTGGGTATGAGTGAGATAAAGCTGGGTTTTTGAAATTTAAAGGGTACAAAAATGACGGAAATCTACTAAAAATATAATATTTTATATTGGACAAATGGAATGAACTAGAATTCTGAAATTTTGGAATGAGAATCACTAATGGAGTGCAGGATAGACGAATTAAAGTGTTTTTCGAAATTCGAACTTTAAGGCTACGAAATGTTCTAAAATGGTACTAAACTTATAAAATGGTACCATTATGTTTTATGAGAATGGATGAGATTTGAATACATTCTCTTGGACTGACGGAATGTAGAATACTAAAAGTTGGAATGAGAGTCACTGATGGAGTGCACAATAGAATCGAACTTTAAGGTTAACGAAAAGTTTTGAAATGATACTAAACTTCCAAAATGGTACAATTTGGTATTATGTGAACGGATAGAAATAAAATTTTGAAATTTGGTATGAGAAGCAAAGTTTGGAAAGTAAGTTTTATATATGAAGATGGTTTTGGAAGTGTGTACAAAGTGTACGAACCGAACGCAATGGTAGTAAATTTGAGACAATTTCGTTTTGAGTGGACGGATGAAGCTGACATTTTGTATTGCGGTCCCTATTTGTAACAAAATTACATAAATGTACGAAAAGTACAGAATGGTACTATTTTTTGCATTGGGAGAAGGGATAGAGATACAATTCTCTGAAATTTGATATTTAGATTACTGATCCTTAAATTTAATATAAAGGTCTATGTTGTTATCTGGAATAGTGGTTGTTTTTGTGGTGGTTTTGGAAATATGTACTATAATTTGTATGGAAAGTACTATATACTACTAAATTAGGAAGGAATAGATCTGAAATCTTGAAATTTGCTATGGACACTAACCGTGAAGTTGGTGTTTGTTGTTGAGAAAAGGGGCTGGTTTTGGATATGCGTAATATTGAAATTTGATAATGAGGTGTCCGTTGGTTTCTAGGGTTTTCATATGGAAAAGTGGAAAAATCGTTTTTAGACAGAAAAAATGGATGTGGTTTCTTGTGCAACCAATATCATCCTCGGTATATTTCAAAATGAAAGATTTTGAATACTTTTTGGTGTAAAAGGTAAACATATTCCTATTATTCTTTCCGGAAAAGGGAAAACTTAAATAATATAAACCAATAAAGAAAGTCTAAAAGTCGGGCGGGCCGAATTTATCATACCCCACCCCAATTTGCATATTAAGTGGAGCTTTATATAACAAATAAAAAATATAATAAATCGGATGAACAATGATTTCGATCAAATTTAGCATATTTAATTCCAGAATATATGCAAAATTCCATACCACACGTTTGGTGCACAATAAAAGCCCAATCGGACGAAGGTATATATGGGAGCTATATTTTAATTTTGACCGATTATCTCCGATTTCAATATGGTCCTTGGATTAGACAAATGACTTGTGCAAAAATTCACCTGGATCGGACAATAAATGCTACCTGTACTTTGTTTACAAAAATACATGGACAGGCAGACGGACGGACATTCATAAATCGACTCAGAATGTGATTCTATGCAGATCATCAAAAGGAACTATGGGTCTATCTCGTCTCCTTTTGCCTGTTACAAACAAATGCACAAGAACATAATACCATATTATGTAGGGTATAAAAACCCTTGAAAGCCTGAAAATTTAATATTATGTATAAAGTTTTGAAAAGTCTAAAAAAGGTTATCAAACTGAACGAATAGTGCATGTTGAGTACAAAAAAGTTCTAACACGAAACAATCTAAAATTTTAAGGTGCAGATTTCATTTAAGAATAAGCAGGTACTTGCAATTTTTATACCCTCAGCCATATGGTTGATTTAATTCGGATCGAGTTCGGAGATGGGTAATATCGGTCCACTCCTAAAATAAAGAAAATAATTTACGGCACAGAAAGGGATATTGCTCCAACTTTGCGAATCCTAATCAGTGCTGGGTCAGGTGCGAAAATGGTAAATATCGTTTCAGTCCATCAAGTACCTCCACCACAAAGGTTTCAAATCCGATTGTCTTCATACATCACAATATTTTTATTAATCCAAGGTCTGGTGTGAAGATGGAATATATCGGTCCACTCTTTCTGGTAGCTCCCCCACAAAGGGTCAACATTTTGAATATCGATGAGGCTCATAAAATGCTAAATCCGAGTCCATTCAGACCTGGCACATCACAAAAATTCCATCAACATAAGATCTGTTGAAAATGGTAGAGATTGGATTATTTCTTGTGGTACCTCCCCCGCATAGATTTTCAAGATTTTGATAAACAAAACGGTCAAAGAAAGCGAAATAAGCATCCAATGCTCTTCAAATTTCACACATACAAACATTTTTGCTAATACAAAATCTGTTGTGCAAATGATATATATCTGCGAACCCTTTCTGGTACCTTATCCACAGAGGATCATAATATTTTATTTGTATTAGATGAAGTATGAAAATAGAATACTTGGGTCCTCTATATCTCGTAACTCATACATATTTCCCCATTTTCCAAAAATTGGCACGCATCTTATATAAAGTATAGGAAGTAGTCGATATAGTCTAAATCTTGCACGTTATAATATTTATACCAATATTGGCCAACTGTTTCGGAACAACCCCATAAAGGGTCAATATTAATTAATTATAATTATAAGTTATATATATATATATAGTTATAACTCTGTCGGCAAAACCGACTTGTGTTATTCTACTAGTTTTATGCATATTTTCCAACCTTCTTATAAATATGTTAAATAATGTTATACTTTCCCTGGAAGTTTACCTCCCCAGTTTAGTTCAAATTGATCCAGATATGATTCAATCACTTTTAAGAATTTGATAGATTTCACTAATTCAGCTCACATTATGGGGGGTTAAATTTGTTTATTTAATTTGTTGGTCATATTATAATTGACCTTATCATTATAATCTCAAGATTTTATTATAACAATATAATCATAAATATTTAACAAAAATTATGAAATAATCATAACAGTCTTGCTTTTAAATTTCAACTTTTAATATGTGCATATTTTACAACAATAGATTCCCACAAAGCCAAAAAAATCTAAGAAATTAAATCCTTGATCTAAAATGTAACTGGCAAACGAATGCAAATAATTGCCGTATGTGCGTTCAATGCTAATTACACACACCGTCACACATACATACAACGGACAACAATAACAGATGACATATCCATTCATAAATAAACAAATTTGTGTAAAATGACTATTTCAAATTGCCACACATCCATAAATGTCTATTTACCTCCCGTATAATGGCCAATAACAAAAAAAATGAAGAAAAAACACAACTGTTTAATGGAGCAAAAAAGGTCACCACCACCACCACCGCCACCAGTCACAGTACCGTCACAATCACACACACACACTCAAGACAAACAAGTAGAAAAATCATTTAACTTTGGTAAATAATTGTGTGAGGGCTGATTTGTTGTCAAATCTTTATATTGAGATTTATTAGATTAACAATGAATTCCCATGGGAAATAGGTCAAATTGGGTGTCATTAACAAGAAAAAAATGGTCGTTTACCAGAATTCTCTTAATAGAGGACCTATAAACAGTCAAAACCAGTAAAGAAAGTCTTAAAGTCGGGCGGGACGACTTTATGATACCCTACACCACTTTGCTAATTTAGTAGAGCTCCGCATAACAATTAAAAGTTTTTATGGGAGAATTCAATCATACACGCTCTGATTATAATTATAATTTAAAGTTCAAAGAACTAAATATGCCGAAGTATTTTTATCTTTTAAAACAGTATATATGGGAGCTATAGATATATCTGAACCGATCTACACCAAATTTGACACACTAGCTTCTAGACTCAATTCGGTCGTAAGTGCGAAATTCCATCCCATTTCGACAAATATTAGAGGTTTGGTGCATAATTAAAGGTAAATCCGACGAAGTTATATATGGGAGCTATATCCAAATCTGAACCGATCTCAATAAAATTTAGCAAATGTATTACTTAGCTGTATTTGATATATTTCCCTGAAAATCGTTGATACGGAGTGCATATTACAGCTGTGGGTAACAAATATAACAATTCCGATGAACAATATATATGGGAGCTATAGCTATATCTGAAGCGATCTTCATCAAATTTGACATACTAGCTTCTAGACTTAAATCGGTCGTAAATGCCAAATTCCATCCCATTTGGACAAATATTAAACGTTTGGTGCACAATAGAAGGTAAATCGGA